GTTTTTGCTATAGGGCACGTGCGCTCACCAGAAAGACAGAGAAACAGAAAGTGAGAAATCTCCCATCCCTTCTCCATTCTCCTCTTGGGATCTTAGGCACACACGCACACGCACCCGGCGTGAGTTTAAGCCACCGGGTTCAGGACTCGAACTGTGGTCGACTACATGAGAATCCAGTGACAAAGCCATTACACCAACTGCTGATCTCACCATATTCTTAATCATATTTCCTGGTACATGTGTATGAGAGTTTCTAGGGTTGTGATTCTTAAACCTGGCTGCATATTAATACCACCCAGGGGACTAGCAGGTAGCATTGTGGTTGGGACACTGGATTTCTATATGGCCAACTAGTTTGGGTCCTGGTCCCAGTGGCTTGAAAATCATGCTGGGCACATGTGCATGGATGCCCAGGATCCTGAGAGGGGAGGGGATTGTGGTGTGGCCACCCCACAACAGGTCATTTCTTTCTTTCTCTCCTTATCTCTTTGTCTCTCTCTGGCAAGTACACGTGCCCTATGGCAAAAAATAAAAAATTAATTAATTAATTAAAAACAAAAAAAAGTAAATGTAAAAAGTTAAGTCATTTAAAACATAAAAAGACTAAAAACCCACTAAGGACCTTAAAAACTATCAATAACCAGAACCAGCAGTTGGCATAATGGCTACATTGCTGGACTCCCATGTAGCTGACCGCAGTTCCCTTCTCCATTCTCTTCTTGGGATTTTGGGCACACATACACATGTGCACAGTAAGAATTTCAAGCTGCCAGATCTGGGACTTAAACCTTGGTTGGTCATGTGGGAGTCCCTCATTTTAACCACTATGCCACTGCCAGCCCTACTTGTCCTAATTTAGATGTATGATCTGAGGCAATATCCCCCATTGTCCTCAGTGTTCTCACCTGTGATGTGAGAAGAATAATAGGACTTACCTCTGGGGGTTGTCATAAGAGTTCAGTAACAGGGACCAGCAGTTGGCATAGTGGCTATGTCGCTAGACTCCAATGTTGTTGACCACGGTTTGAGTCCCGGACCCAGTGGCTTAAACTCACACTGGGCACGAGTGCATGCGTGCCCAAGATCCCGAGAGGAGAATGGAGGAGAAGGGATTCCAGCGTGGCCTTCCCCCCTGGGGGGTGATTTCTCGCTTTCTGTCTCTCTCTCTGTCTGTCTGGCGAGTGCACGCGCCCTATAGCAAAAACCTCTCAAAAAAAAAAAAGAATTCAGTGAGATAAAATATAAATGAAAGCTCTTGGGAGAGTAAAATCACTACAATGATTTTAAACATAATTTTTCTACATATTCACCAGGAAAGACATCCTTTTCTAGTATACTAAGAAAACAAGTTGTTTTCAATGATCTGTTTCTTGGGCGAGAAACTCCCTCACCAAGGACACGCAGAAGAATCCGCACTGCAAGCAGCCATGTTTCTCTGATTAAGGAGGGCACGTACTGACCTGAGTGAATCACTGAAGTAAATCCCACTCCCAAGGTTGCCGGCATCCGTTCTTTGCACTCCACGATCTTCAACCCTTTTGGGTAAAAGTAACCCTCTAAAAGGAAGAAGGCATTATGATGATTTACTAGGGAAAAAAGCGGTCTTCTATTATTGCCTTGTAATCCCAGCACAGACAAGTACAAGTTAGAAAGCATAAGGTGAAAAGAAAAATCTTCCAGAGGAGTTCAGGGCCATTAAAATGTCACAAATTGCACGTGTTGCAATCCCTTGTCGTCCATTTCTCCATTTCTCCGTCCCGTCAGAATTCTGGGCATACCCATGCCCCCGAGGTGTTCGTCAAGCCACAGTGTCAAGACTGGAACCATAGTCAGGCATGTGGGATGCAGCTCCCTTAGTACTAGGCAATGGAGCCAGCACTTCCTATTTACATACTTGCTCTGTCTGCAGTTTAAGTAAGAGGAACATGGTAAAGGTACTACTTTACACTTTATAGAATGCATACTTTACAAAAATATAAATTTATAACGATAAAAGTATATTTTATTTTTTTTTTAGATAATTGTCAATTTCTCCCAATATACAGAAGAAATTATCTTTCTTTTTTTCTCTTTTTCTTCTTTTTTTTCCCCCCTAACCAATTGTGATTTATTTGTTGCATAAACCACCTAACATCTTTCAGGTAAAACAATTCTAAATTTGAATAAAGATATTACAAAATGAATTAGAGCTCAATAAACATTAGCTTTGGGGAGGGAACACAATTCTACTCAATTAAGGCAAACATTTTTATAGACCACAGATTAGTTTATTTTTAACACCCATCACGCCATGAATGCATAGGGAATATGTTCCAGAAGCTCAGGCTCCTTTCCATTGGTTCTCACAAAGTGTGCTTCTCTGGGTGGAGCAGGCTGGCGCTTCATTTGAACCCAGGTACCTTTCTCTTAGGCCTCTTTTTTTTTCTGGTCATTTTCCTTCACTGGATGCTATCTCTGCTCTTAGAATGCTTACTATGCTCAATACACACATTAATTCTCTTGGCAAGAGTCTTGCCCTTAACTTGTTTGGTCACAACAATGCCAACAACATGCTAGGTAACATTGTAGACTCTTCCAGTTTTGCCATGGTAACATTTGTGGGGCAGTCCTTTCTGAACAGTACCCATTCCCTTGATGTCTACAATATCACCTTTTTTGTAGATTCATATATATGTTGCCAAAAGAACAACTCCATGCTTTCTAAAAGGCCTAGAGAACATATATTGGGTGCCTCTCCTCTTTCCCAAATTTCCCTTTGTGTTTGTCATTTTGGTTAATTACTGGAAGATGGCGGTTCTGGCCAAAAGCAAGAAATTATCTTTCTTCTACAGACATAAAAGTTATTTTTCTCACATGCTAAACCTATGTTTTGAGTTTGCATTTATTTATTCTGTTGAATTATCAATCATCTATTTATGTGTAACTTCACTATTTTCTTTTTGTGGATTGTATACATGTGCGATGTTTTTAGGCAGGGTCTTGCTATGTTGCAATCTTCCTGCCTCAGTCTCCTAAGTAGCTGGGACTACAGGCATATGTTACCATGTTTAGCTTCTCACCCGGGGCTAGAAATCGAACCCAGGCCTCCTCTTTGGTCTCAGACTATCAAGCAACAATGCATAGTGGACAGTGTTTACTGGAGCAGCTGGGCCTAAGCTTACTCCTTTAAAAGACATTTTAACGTGGGTCCCAGTGGGTGGCATGGTGGTTAACATGTTGCACTCCCACATGGCAGACTGTGGTTTGAGTCCTGGACCTGATGGCTTGCTTTGTCACTTTCTCTTTCTCTCTGTCTTTCTCTGGTAAGTGCATGTGCCCTACAGCAAATCAAAAGAAAAATGAATAATTATGATAAATAAAATTAAACAAATAATTTTAAAAATAAAGAAAAGACTTGTTAAAGTATTTTAAAAAGTCTGGTTAATCTTCCCTCATTACTCTTCTTTTTCAGAGTTACTCTGATAATGTCAAAGTTTTAAAAAATATGTACTGTAGAATCAAGCTTTTAATTTCTTTTTAAAAAATTCTGTTGATTTTGTTGTGTAACATTAAATTGATAGATTGGTTCAAGGAAAATTGGCATCTTCCTGATTAATGCAAGTGTCTTATGCATCCCTCAACAATGGTTTAAAGTTGTTTTTTTTTTTTTCGCCCCAGATGGGTCTTTTAAGTTTCTTTAAGTTTCTTCTTAAGTATTTAATTAGGAGATCTAATTTAATCATATTTTCTCCTGCTTCCTCTGTCCTGTTTTAGCCCTCATAATAAGTGACGAGATAAAGCACACCTAAAGGTAGAGTTTTATTTTGGATAAATAACCCACACTATCTCAGCATTCTAATTTCTAGACCTTTCTCCCTATAGTTCAAGAAGACTTCAAGAAGTTCATGGAAAATGGAATTAAAAGAAACAATTTAAATATAAACTTTATATTCCATCAAGCTCAAAACACTTTTGAGAATGATGATACCAACCATTTAATCCATTCCTAAACATCTGAGGGTCCTGGGAATTTAACCGTGTTGGTGCAGTCTTTTTCCTGCTATTAACTAAAGAAAATGGGTACCCTCACAAGATTTTTTTTTTTAAATTTTTGCCTTAGAGTGCATAAGCTCATTAGAGACAGAGAAGAAAGAGAGATAGTGAGAGGGAAATTGAGAAACCACCCCCTGGGAGATGGCCATGCTGTGATCCCTTCCCTTCCATTCTCCTTCTAAAACTTTTAGAAACTCATGCACATGATTTTCAAGCCACAAGGTCTGGGACTTGAACTGTGGTCAGCCATATGGGAGTCCAGAGCTTTAGCCACCATGCCACCTGCTGGCTCCACCCTCACAAAATTTTTTTTAAATTAAGGAAACTAAAAGAAGAGCCACTCCCTGCTTCACAGTAGTAAAGTGCAGTAGAAAGAGCTGGATGCCACAGGCTGACCTGGATTAGAATCCTGATCCCAGCCACTTGAAAAACATGCTGGGCATGTGTAAATGTGTGCCCCAAATCCTGATGAGTTGCAGAAATGGGGGGAAAAGGATTACAGTATGACTACATCCCATTGTGGGGGTATACGCTTTCACTTCTTATCTGTCTGTCTTTATCTCTCTCTGGTATGCACACGCATGCCCTCTGGCTATGCATGTGTGTGTGTGTGTATTTATATATATATATATATATATTACAAGCAATATGATTTAATTACTTTGGAAACAATCCCCACCCCAATAATGCCTGAACCCAAAGTTATGTAAAAATGGTCAAAAACGACAGATCTGAAGATCAGTTTCTTAACACGACTGTTTCCAGCTGTACAGTAAATTATAAACTATATCAAACCGTGTTAAGGCAGATGATCAATTGGTGGTTGCATCTGTAGCTAGTCCTGGGAAAATGATCTTGCTGGGATTGGGAGCTCTCTCCTGGTTGTCTGGACAGCTAGCCCAGGAAGGGGCAGTCCTGGAGGGGGGCACCCCACCTGTCTTTTCACTGCTCGTTCTGCTGACCTTCTATGACTGAGGTGGACACAGAACCCTGGCCCTTGTGGACATCACTGATGCACACCCGCTGTCCGTCGACTGCCTCCTTTATATATATATAAAAATTTAAATATAAATATATATAATATATAAAAATATATGTATATATATTAAATATAAATATATATGTATATATAATTTTTTTTTAAAGCCAAAAGGAACTAAATCAGGACCATAGGCAGATGCTTAAAAATTTCCTGTAGAAACTCTCACAAAATTGCCCTTGTTTCAAGAAAGGAATGAGAGGAAGCATTGTTATGGTAAAGAAGGACCCTCTGGTGAAGCTTTCCTGGGCATTTTTCTGCTATGTCTTTTGCTAACTCTCCTAACAAGCAGGTATTATCATAATAAGCAAACTATCTTGAATAGTCCCAGAAACTTGCCATGGCCTTTGCTCTTGACTCATCTATTTTTGCTTTGACTGGACCACTTCCATCTCTTGACAGGCATTCTTTGATTGTGTTTTGTCTTCAGGATCGTACTAGCAAGGCCACATGCCATCTCCTGTTACAATTCTTCACACACACACACACACACACACACACACTCGTTTCAGGATCTTGATCCCGCTTCTTTAAAATTTCCATTGAAAGCTCCATTAGAGCCAGCTGGTGAAGTAGTGGTTAAGGACGCTAAGATCCCACCTGGCCCACTGCGGTTCGCGTCCTGAACCTGGTGACTTAAAAATTAAACAGAGTGTGTGTGCATATGTGCCCAAAATCCCAGGAGAAGAATGGATGAAAAGGGAATGTGGTATGGCCATCCCCCATGAGGGGTGATTTGTGATTTTCCTTCTCTTTGTCTCTCTTTCTCTTTGGTGAGCACAAGCACCTATGGCAAAAACTTAAAAGAAAAAAAGAAAAAGAAAGCTCTGGTCTTGTCTGCAGCTGATCTGGGTGTAACAGTTTTGGCACCATCAAACAGAAAGTTTGCTCAATTTTAATTTTCAGTCAGAATTGTGTGTAAGCTGAACCAATTGAAATGTCTATGGTGTTGGCTATTGTTTCTGCTGTTAATCATCAGTCCTTTTCAATTAAGATTAATTTTTTTCTTTGCAATCTGGTGTAGATAGTCTGCAGCTACGGACATCGTCCTCAACATCATCTCATTCCTTCTTAAAATGAGTTTGGGGCCAGCAGGTGGTGTAGTGGTTAAGGTGCTGGACTTCCACATGGCTGACAGTGATTCGAGTCCTGGGCCCGATAGCTTGAGAATCACACTGGGGCATGTGCGCATGCATGCCCAAAATCCCACAAGGAGAATGGAAAAGAAGGGATCATGGGATGGCCATCCCCTTGGGGTATGATTTATCATTTTCTCTCTTTCTGTCTCTGTCTCTCTCTGGTATGTGCTTGCACCCTACAGCAAGCAACAACGACAACAACAAAACAGGTTATCAATTTGTAAACTGCTGATTTCTTTGGGGCAATGTTCCCATAAACTTTTCTTAAAGCATCAATAATTTCACCATTCTTCTAATGAAGCTTCACCATAATATGATGTTTGTTCTTGCTTCAATTTTGGCAGAATTCATGTTATTCTGATAGGAACTCTTTTCAAACTCATGTCCCACCCTTCTAAGTGCCTCAAACATGTTCAGACATGTTATAACAAATTGGTATGCATTTATTTTGGTCCCCAAAAAACAATAAAATCCAAGCATAACTTTTTCATAATATGCATTTTCCACAAAAGTTGTTAAAGTCCCCTAGTATTGGGCTATCCCTGAATTAGATACACATGCAGAGTTAAGAAATGTAGAATCGCTTTCCTTCACATGATACTGTCTTTAAGAAGCAGTTCATTGCCCATTACACTTTTAAAAATTACTTATTTAATTTATTATTATTAAAGTTTGCTTTAGAGCATCACCAGAGACAGAGAGAGAGAGAGAGAGAGAGAGAAGGAAAACGAGAAAGCAAGCCATGGACTTGAACCACAGCCAGCCACGTGGGAGTCACGCACCTCAACAACTGGGACCAGCAGTCGGCATAATGGCTATGTCGCTGGACTCCCATGTAGTTGACCGCGGTTCAAGTCCCTGACCCAGTGGCTTAAACTCGTGTTGTGTGCATGTGTGTGCATGCCCAAGATCCTAAGAGGAGAATGGAGGAGAAGAGATTGCAGTGTGCCATCCCCGCAGAGGTAATTTTTTGCTTTTTGTTTCTCTCTCTCTCTGTTTCTCTGGCGAGAGCAGGCACCCTATAGCAAAAACCTCTCAAAAACAAACAAAACCAACCCACCACCTTCTGCCCTCCCATTACACTTAAAAAAAAAAAGTTTAAATTATATACTTGGTTATAGTTTAAAGGGTACAGTTTTTCCCAGATTGCAATAGGATGACTGATTTTAACTGAAAAGATACATGTATGTAGATACAAAAAAAGCAGGAGAAAAAAAAAGTAAAACTCTTCATATTTGCAAGGTAAAAAAATTTGAAAAGCAGAAAGGGCCTCTTACCGGGAAAGGATTCCCACGATGTTTTGTACAGGGGATCCGTGCAGCAAGCGCCTCACATTGCCAAGTTTGCTCAAAAACTCTGTGGTTTCATTCACTCTGCCAACTCTAAATATCTGCAAGATATCCACTGGGCTTTTACTGCAAGAATTAGAAGAAAAACTCTGAGGTTACACGTTTGGAAGTCAAACAAAAAAAAATCATTATTGGCAGAAGAAATGCTGGAACAAATATCTGTTATCAGTGGACTGATTTGGTGAATTGTAACACAACGTGTCTTAGAATACTATACAGTCATTAGAAAATTACATCTTTTTAAGGAATTATTTTATTTTTTGAAAGAATTACTTTATTTAACTTTATTTATTATTATTATTATTTTTGCTATAGGGCGCGTGCACTCGTCAGACCGAAAGAGATAGAGAGACAGAAAGCGAGAAATCACCCCCAGGTGGGATGGCCATGTCGCAGTCCCTTCTCCTCCATTCTCCTCTCGGGATCTTGGACATGCACGCACACGTGCCCGGTGTGAGTTTTAAGCCACCGGGTCCAGGACTTGAACCGTGGTCAAATACGTGGGAGTCCAGCGACATAGCCATGATGCTAACTGCTGGTCCCATATTATTATTATTTTTTAATTTGACCAGTGAGAGACAGAAAGAGAGAAGGAAAGTTAGAATATAAGGCACCAGGCCCAGGATTTGAACTGTGGTCAGCCATGTGGAAATCCAGTGCCTTTAACCACCACACCACCTGCTGGCCCTGAAAATTACATTCTTAAAAAATAAATAAGGTATGAGGTAAAGCTTACAGTAAGATGTAAAATTTTTAAGTAGATTATAAAATGTTATGCATGATATGATCCCAAATTTTATAAAATAAATGCTATGTAAAATAAAATTTGCTTCATATATATTTGAATGAATAAATGAAACAATTCAAAATATTCATATATATTAAATGAGACTCTCTCTCTCTATATATATATATATATACACACACACATGGAATTAATATACAGACTAATTTATTCACACACACACACAGATTGAATAGGGTCATTCATTCCCACATACATTCAACAAATATAATCAGTGCTTAATATTCTGCCAGGCATTGGAAATAAAATAACATGTTCTCTGGCTTTATGGAACTTACATTCTTTATTTTTTTTTAAGAAGTTTTTGCCTTATGGCATGTGTGCTTGTCCAGGAGAGAGAGAGAGAGACAAAGACAGTGAGAGGGAAAGTGAGAAATCACATCCCCTGGGGGTATGGCCATACCACAATCCCTCCTCCTCTACTCTCCTCCTGGGATCTTAGAAATCCATGCACAAACTTCCAGTGTGAGTTTTAAGCCACCAGGTCCAGGACTTGAACTGTGGTCAGCCATGTGGGAGTCCAACAATCTAGCCGCTAGGCCATCTGCTGGCCACATTCTTTATTTTTACAAAATTCTTCCCAGATAGCACATAGTTATAGTTCACCAGAGAGAGACAGAGAGTGAGAGAGCAAGCGAGCAAATGAGAAAGGATCCCCACCTCACGTGAGGAATGGTCACACTACAATCCCTTGAACTCCATTTCTCTCTCCTTTCCACATTTTTTAGCACACACACACAGTATGCTTCTCAGGGTGCCGATGCTTCTCAGGGTGCCACGTCTGGGACTAGAACCACACAGTTGCCATGTGGGAACCAGCAGCTTTACTCACCATACTATGGGCTGGTCTCATGGAACTTACGATGTAATGAGAGCCAAAAAATAAGAAGTAAGCAATACCAAGATAAAAGAAGGCATCCCTTCATCATCCTCTCTCTCGATCACCCTCTCTGAGTGGAGAATTTATGATTTGGAATACAGGAGGATACACTTTAAGATCTAACTGGTTGTTATGGGAAAATGGGTTGGATGGGGCAGGTGTGGGGAACATCAGGAAAGAGGACGGTGCGGTGCAGCACGGCCGATGGGATAATGTGACCTGGACCAAAGATGGCAGCAGAGAACATGGAAAGGCGCCAGTAGATAAAGATGCACTGGAGGCAGAATGGACAGAACATGAAATGGGAATAGAGAAGGGGAATTTACAATGGCTCTGGGTGAAGGCCTAAGATGAGGAAGCACAGTAGAGGGTGGGAGTGCTGCTGAGGGACAGTGCTGTGGGGTAAGGAAGGGATACAGGGCACTGGCAGGTGGCTTAGTGGTTAAGGTGCTGGACTCCCACATGGCCAGCCATGGTTGAAGTTGCAGACCTGGCGGCTTGCTTTCTCACTTTCCCTCCTGCTCGCTCTTTCTCTCTGGTCAAATAAAATATTAATAATAATAGGGGTCAGCAGGTGGTGCGATGGTTGGAGGCGCTGGACTCCCACGTCGTCGAACATGGTTCGAGACCTGAAAAAAAAAACCTGGCGGCTTTCCCTCTTTCTCTCGCTCTCACTCTGGCCCTCTCTGGTCAAATTGAAGTAAGTAAATAAATAAATAAAGTTAAATAAATTAAAAATAATAATACTACCAAACAAAATAGATAGTTCTTTATAAAAAGAAGAAAGGAGAGGCTGGGAGGTTGTATGGTGGTTAAGGGCATTGGACTCACACGTGGCCAACTGCAGTTAAGTCCTGGACCTGGCAGCTTGCTTTCTCACTTTCCCTCTCTCTCTCTTGCTCTGTCCCTCTCTGGTCAAATTAAAATAAATAAGTAAACAAATAAAGCTAAATAAAATATTTTTAGAAATGAAATAAAAAAGAAAAAGGGATACAAGATCCTATTCTGCACATCTACCCTGTCCCAAGTTAGATAGTGTCACATTGGTAACTTGATGTTAGCTGTGGCGGATGTATTCACATGACAGAGATCAGCAATATTACAAATCAGGATTTTTCTTTCAGAAAGTTGGCTTACCAGCACACTACAGGGCAAGAAAAAGAATGACTAATTCAATCTGAGATAATGTTAGTTGTATTGTCTTATCTTTGGGTGATGAGATTTTGAGTGATTTCAAATTGTCTTCATATTTTTATACATTTTCTAAGCTTCAAGCAAAAATATAATTTTTAAAAAAATAATTGTTTATTTAATTTTTATTTATTATTATTATTATCGTCATTTAATTTGCTATAGGACACGTGTGCTCACTAGAGAGAGAAAGTGAGAATACCAGCTGTCTGATCCAGGACTTGAACCATGGTCAGTTATGTGGGAGTCTTGCACCTTAAGTACCACACCACCTGCTAGCCCCAAGAACATGAATTTTATAACTATGAAAAAAATACTATGAAAACATTATCATTAACAACAAGAAATGGAGAAAGTAGAACTTTTCATAGCAGTGATCTCTTCCTAGGGAGAAGCCCACTTCACTGCAGAAATATTTCTTTTTGTTGGAGAGCTTTTTTTTCCTATAGGGCGCGTGCGCTCGCCAGAAAGACAGAGAGAGACAAAGTGACAGAAAGGGAGAAGACCCCTCCCAGGGAGGATAGCCACGCCGCATTCCCTTCTCCTCCATTCTCCTCTTGGGATCTTAGGCACACACGCACATGCGCCTGGCGTGAGTTTAAGTCACTGGGTCTGGGACTGCCACTATAGTTGACTACATGGGAGTCCGGCAACATAGCCATTACGCTAACTGCTGGTCCCCACTGCAGAAATACTTGCATATTCGAGTAGTGGGTGAGCTGGCTTAGGGCTTACCTGGGCTGCAGTACATGTTAAATTACAGCTTCCCCTTCCCAGGGCTTCAGGCAGTGCGTCCTTCCCTTCTTCTCATTTCTCATGTATTTATTTTCACAGTTTTTGCATGTGGTCATCAGTGAGAGACAGAGAGAGGGAGAGGGAGCAGGTACCGTCACAGGGCATAGCCATGCCACAATCCTGTCTTCTTTTCTCCACCTGTTGGGACTTGGGGCCTGTATACACATGTTCTTCAAGTCACCTAGTTCACCATTCAAACCATGGGGCTGGCCATGGAGGATCCAGCTGCCTTAACTACCAGGCTATGGAGCTGGTCCCCTTCTGATTCTAGTTTCATTGTCACTAAGCTCTTAATTAGTATTAGATCCTAGCAGTCACCAGCGGAGGGGCAAGTCAAATCCAAAGAAATAAAAAGAATTTGACTACATATGAAAACAAAATCTGCTAAAGTTCTGTAGGAATTTTTTTTTGTTGTTTGTTTTCTATAGGGTGTGTGCACTCACTAGGGAGAGAGACACAGAGAGAGAAAGAGGGAAAGCGAGAAATCATTGCTTTTTCCATGGCACAAGGCAGTTTGCTTTCTGTCTGCACAGATTTATCTATTCTATTTACGTCATAGAATGGCTTCATATGACGCATGGCTTCTTCCACTTCGCGCGGTGTTTTGGAGGTTCGCCAACGCTGTAGCCTGTATAAGCAGTTAGTTCCTTTCAAGTATCTGTTTCAGCTCTTTTCAGTTCTTTTGGGAGTGAAATTATTGGGCCATATACTGATTCTATGCTTTGTTTGTTGAGGAATCACCAGTGGCTGCCCCAATTTTCATTCCCATTGGCATTGTGTGAGAATTCTAATCTAATCACCTCACCAACACTTAAAATCTGACATTTAAAAAAAAATTATAGCCCTCTTAGTGGGTGTAGAGTGGTACTACTGGGAATGGATTTTGGGGATGACCGGCCGAGGAAAGTAGAGCACCGTTTTGGATAGGTCTGAACTGGTCCACAGGGAGAAGTGACTGGGTGCGGTTCCAAAGGGGTGCTGGAAAGCCAGCTCTCAGAACACCACCACCCTCACACAACTCCTGGTTGCAGCATTTGCTGATTTCCAGGGTGCTAATCCTCCCACTGTGGCCAATTTCAAGCTTTCAGTGGTTTAACAACCAGTTCATAAAATTCCCAGCGTTTTGACAGTTGAGGCTAGCCACAGTGGCACATTGCTAAGATGCTATGTTCTGTAGGCTGAGGCCACACGGGCAGCCCAGGTTTGACCTCCAGTTTAACCTAAAGGCTGGGTGCGGTGGCCTGTGCCCATAATCCCAGCGACTTGGAAGGCCGAGGCAGAAAGATTGTGAGGATGAGGCTGGCCTGGGCAACACAACGAGATCCTGTCTAAAAAACAGCCAGGTATTGTGGCATATGCCTATATGTTCAGCTGGGAGGCGAAGGCAGGAGGATTCTGACATGGGGAGACCCTGTCTTTTTTTTTTTTTTTTTTGGGAGCTTTTCGCG